CTAAACGAAAAGGTAAATCGGTCCCGGAGCTAGGTCTAACCATGAGACCTACAGTAGCTTATTCCCTAGAGGAGGAATTCACTAAAACCAAGCGTTTAGTAGGCCTTACGATACTTGTGTGCTGCGTCGTTGACCGACAATGTCGGATAGACTGCGTTATTATATACATTTAAAAATAAACACTACTATTTACATACATATAAACTTAATCAGGCTGTGAAGGTAAATAAAACGTGTTCCCCATTTTAAGGAAGGGCTTTTATATAACTTTTAGCGGTTCTTTACTCAGCTCCTCCAGCGAGTACAGTGGCATATCTACCAAGCTATTTCTGATGGCCGCTTTGAAGGAGGTGATGTTCATATCCCGCACCTTATCCGGCAAGGTATTAAAAAGCCTTATGGCATAGCGGGGATAGCTCTTGAGGGTGCGGGTGAGACGACATCGCGGCATGTCAAGGTGTAGTGCTTGCCGGGTGTCATAGCGGTGATGAACTGGGTCTCCGGAATTTTATCCCCCTGGGCAAAGCTGAAGTCACTGTGACGTAGTAAGCTGAGTGGTCAAAAGTTTGTTCGCGGCCTGAATTTTACCCCCACGGATTTGGAAGTCTAATGAAAAAAGCCAAAGCGTGATTAATTAGATTAGCGATAAAAACCGGAATTTTACCCCCTGTCCATATAACTAGCGTTTAGACAACTAAAGATGTACGGGCCGGATTTTTACCCCCAGAATTTTACCCCCGGATTTCTACCTTCGGAATTTTACCCCCTGGCCGATTTTGGAAATTGAATGATTGATTTTCTTATTTCTGTTTTTAATTAATTGTAAACATTTCATTATTTAATAGCCTATCTTTATTTATTTATTTTGTAAAGAAATGTTCGAAACAATTATCATTCAGTTGATTGTTTATACGCCATATTAACCAACTGTTGGCTTCAAAGATTGAATCCTAATACTAGAATCTCAAAATTAAAATTAAAAACTTGTTCGATTAGTTAATGTTACAAATAATTAATATACAGTAGGCTAATGATGAAATGTTGACTATTAAATTAAAACAAAATGAAGATAATTAATCATTCTCACTAATATATATCTGGCCAGGGGGTAAAATTCCGGGGGTAAAAATCCGGGGGGGGGGGGGAAAAATGGGGGGATAACTCTAGGTTTTTATAATTTTATGTGTTCTGATTAAATTCACAACCGTGAAAATATATGTTTAATTCAGCGTTTAATCCATCAAGCTGATGTCGCGAAACTCAAAAGTTCGCGGCCGGAATTTTACCCCCTGGTTTGTGACGTCACGTTTGCCCAGGGGGTAAAATTCCAGGGGGATAAAAATCCGCTACCCCGATGAACTTATCTCTTCGGTCAAACAGATGGACATTCTCTTTCAGAAGTATTAAGATGTTCAATACGTATTGACTGAAGACTGTAAGAATGCCCAGATCTTTAAAAAGGGGCCTACAATGTTCGTTGTAGTTGGCTGACATTATGATTCTTACAGTTTTTTTTTCTGGAGCAATAATATGTCCTGTGCTGCTGGTGAATGACCCCAAAGTACCAAGCCGTACATAAGATGGCTATGAAACAGAGCATGGTACACAGTTATCAAGAATTGCTTCGGGATGATGTTCCGAAGTTTCCTTAGGAGGCAATAACCCTATCAATATGGTGAGCTCCAGCTTAGTTTGGCATCCAACCAGAAACCTAGAAGTTTAACCGCCTAATCTCTTTCGGTTAGTGGCTTCAGTGTGCAGAGCAAGGACTGAGTTTTGGCTGCATTTAATTTCAGACGGTTTGCTGTAAACCAGTTCTTGGCCAGTTCCAAAAGATGGTCAGCTTCAATATGCAGTTGCTCAATGTCGCTTCCTCTAGATATCAGGGCGGTGTCGTCAGCGAAAAGGAGGGTGGAGCCATTTAGCCTCAAGTCCTTCACCGCCACACTAAAAAGGAGAGGGCCGAGCACCGAGCCCTGTGGCACTCCATGTGAGATACTCCTAACGCAGGAGAAGGCCCCATTTATCGCAACTACTTGCCTGCGATTTGCCAAATAATAGGACAGGGACTTCAGCACAGTTCCGCCCACACCATACTTTGCTAGTTTGCCTATCAGTACCGGTAGCTTATGGGACACCACATCAAACGCCTTGCTCAGATCGCAAAGTCTAAGGAGGATTGACTCATTATGGTCAAAGGCGTCAGTAATTGTATCAACAAGACTCAACAGTGCGGTGGTTTTAGATCTACCCCCTCTAAATCCATGCTGTGCACTCGAGAGAATGCGGTTTGTCTCAAGATAGGCCATGAGTTGTCTTTTCATGACCGTCTCCAGCCCCCAGAAGATCGACTGGGAGTATGGAATTAATAAGCCTATTTCTGGCCTATTTCTGATGTTATATGTTTAGAATAAAAACACGACTTAATTTTCAAGACTATTTATTATAAATTGAAATTAACATTGACTGAAATATATTAGGCTGCAGTTTATGAGCCGACATCTTTAATTCTGTATCAAAATCAAATCCACTTAAAAGAGAATACACAAAGCCCAAAGAGTAATACCTCTGTAAACATGGACAGGACTTCACTATATACATATATCAACAGTTACACGATATCTCAATGAAATTCGGTAACAAGTGCTAAATATAGCACATGTAGGCCTCGCCATGTTATCTTTCATGTGAATAATTTAATCCATGTAGTTTGCTTGGATATGGCAATATGTTGAAATTGTTGATAACATTTTGGCAAATTTATTTATTTCAAACTACATTTCATTCCCTTGCTTCTTTACCCGTAGCAACAAATCTGAGCAGTTAAACCTAATGTAATATAATTGGAAACATGCCTGGCATGTTAAAATATTTAAGTAAAAATCCAATCAGACAAATTGAAATTCACGAAGTTTATCCTTTGCTGTGACAGGAGTAGGCCTATTATTGCCAAGCTATTATCCCTATTGATTATATTATTAGACTATCAGTATAGTTCAATGTAAGGATATTTGTACATTTTTCTATCATCATGAGGGTAACTAACTTACTTACTACGGTACTTTACAATTTTTCAGCCAGTGATGTTGTTAGATCACTTAAACAGAATAAATGTACTTCATATGTAGGTTAACAAAATTTACAATAACAAAAGAAACAGGCCCTTGATACAATCTAGACCTCGCTGTGCCAGTAACATGTGAAAAGTTAAAGTCTAAGCCTTCTCAAGTAAATATTTTGACAATTCAGATGGTGTGTGGGAGGAATGAGGGAAAGACTCACAAGACAAAAGTGACATTAAATTGATCTAAAGCAATTAATTAATTGATGAGATATGACTGTGCAAAATAACAATATGCCTGCCACAACAAACCTGCAGACGAATTTCAATTAGTCTGATATTGGATTTTAACAAAAATATTTCCATAAACAAGACATATTTATTCCTTATTTAAATAACATTAGATTTAACTAGTACATAACCTAGGTTTGCTGCTATGGGAAGGTAAAAAGTGTTTTTGACTAAATGTTAGTACTATAGGATGAAATAAATAAATCTGCCAAATTTGATCAACATCTATCCATAAACAAGCAAACTACAACAGTTTTCTCTCTCTCTATAACGTTAAATTTTACAACAACAACGCTTCAATGTATAAAATTGTTTGTTTTTAAGCTCCAAACGATGGCAGTGATGAAAATCGGGCATTTTCATGTTTTAAGGGTAAAAATATGTAAAAAACCAAATTTTGAAATTTTCAAAACAATACCATGATACCATGAACCGAACTTGTTGGTTCCCAAACTCATTCAAGCTACACCTTCAAGCTAAATTTCATCAAAATTAGACCAAAATTACTCGAGTTATCGCGTTTACGGAAACATATATAAAGGGTGTTTGTTTAACGCAACCCAAATTACAGAGGCACAGGTGTACAGTGACACAGTACAGTGAGTACACATTAGGTGTACAGTGAGGCACATTTTAATGACAAAACAAGCATCCCCGTTTTCTTTCCTTTATTGCCAATCACATGACGTATGCATTGTTGCATAGTTATCTATGAGGTTTAGTGTTATTGGGAATTTATTGTAAGTAAGACTCAACATGGTGTTTTCCCAAACTCACCTATTTATTTAACTCAATTATTTAACCTTTCCCAAAAGAGTTAGAAGAATACATTACGAGGAAATCATTGGTTTTATGCCAAGAAAGGATTGAAATTAAGTGTTCAGGTGTTATTCCAGTGGTTAATAAATTAACTGTTATTGAAATGTACAAATTTACAGAAACCAGATCTGTAGTAAAGAAAAAAAACGAAGACTTGCAAAACATTCTCTATTTGAGCTTGTGAAAACACCGTGTTGGGTCTTATTTCCAATAAATTCCCATAGTAACACTAAGCCTCATAGAGAACTATGCAACAATGCATAGATAGGCCTATCAGCTGATCGGCAATGAAGTAAAGAAAACAGGGATATCAATAACATACAAGATTGTTTTGTCTTTCCTCACACATGCCCACCGTACTTGTAATATTTGGTTGGCGTTTGAAAAAAAAAACACCCTGTATGAATCTATATAAATTTGAATGAATAGTATTTTTGGCCTCTAGGGACATTAAAATGAAAAAGTAAATCGGTCCCGTGTCTAGGTCTTAACGTGCCACCTACGGTAATAGCATTTCCCTATAGGGAAATTTGCTAAAAGCGACGCTAGTGGGGAAGGGTTTTTACTTGCCACTTAAATTGACAGGATCTATTACCTGCTGATGATGATGTCTTGACAGAATATGAGCTAGGTACTGACTCAATTATTTAACAGTTATAGTCTGACATAATTCCAGTAGGTATTAAACAGGCTAATCATTGGTGTGAATTTACTAAAAGCTTCAACGTACATTAAAACATTTATCGTATTTACTGTATGAAACATAATTATTATATTAATATGTACCGTAGTTGTAATCATCTAACATGATTTTTTGTTGTTGTTACAGACGAAATCCAGCAAGATGGATCCTTAGTCCCGTCAAGGTTTTCCCTGTACAAGAGTGAAGATGGCATACACGAATCAGCTGCACGGCAACCACTTTTTGAAACAAAAACCTCAATTGACCAGATTACAAGTAGCGAACTAGCTTTTTCGGAAATTGAAGATTTATATACAACTTCATCATCTCACTATGATAGTGTGGATTCAGATAATGAAATTTTAAATCTAAGAAAGAGATCTGCGGGTCAAATAACTATTGATGAAACTAACAACAATAAAATAATTGCTGAGTCAGATGTGAACTTTGACAGTGATTTGGATGCTTTAGCAACCCCTGTCAGCAACAGGTTAGAATCGTCTAATGTTGTTAGGGATATCGCAGATGGTGAGTTTTACGACAAAATAAATCCTACAAAGTCAGGAGATTCGATACAACCAGATATTGTTAAGAAAACCAAGGAAAATATTAAATTTGATGAGAAGTCGGGGGAAGCCATGAGGGCTTCGGCGAGAGGGAGAGCGTTGCCCTTGCCGAAGCCCAGTTCTGCCTCAGGGGCGGAGAATGCCCCACCACCCAACCTTACGAGCCATAGAAGTGACAAACCTAGTTCTCCAGACATCCACGATATAATAACTGGATTTGTTAAACTACTCAACGGGAATGTTCAAGCTCAATTGAACCCAAACCCTCATCCTCTTAGTGGAGGAAGACCACTTTACCCAGTGAGGACAAGGATAAACAATCGAGGTCCCCCAAGGATAACCGATGTTCCTCTACCACATCTGGACTTTGAACCTCCTGAATTGAGACCTCCAAAACCATTGCCAGCAGTCACCACTAAACAACCCCCACCATATCCATTTGATATTTCACCTCCTATTTCATCTCTGCCTCCTCAGCCAACTTCTGTCCTCAAACCGTTTATTTCTGGTATTCCTCTTCCAGAACAGCTCGTACCAAAGGACCAAAACAGTTTAAGTATCAAATCCGAGACTGATCTATTGATGGAAAACTTCAACAAATCGTTTGTTGCTCCTTCCAAGACAAAAAATCCATTTGGAGGGGACCACCATAAGACAAAATTGGGAAATCCTCTGAACAATGAAACAGATCACACCAAAGAAATCTCCAAGAAGCCGAGTCTTCATAAGCCATCAAACTCTTTTGTCCAACATACAGAAATAACACCCCTTACAAAACCGACTTTCACAGTCGAACAAAATACAGAACCCAGTATCAATGCAAGTACAGTTGTCATTCCACCTACAATGTATGAAACAATGAATGCATCTTACCAAAAAGTAAAGAAGAATGCGACCACTTCAGGACTTAATGATTCAACAATAGTCAACATTGAAGTTTTAACAACCGTAACAACTGTTGAAAACAGTACTTTGTCAGATATTACTAAGAAAGGACAATTTGTGAAAGAGACAATAAACAAAACTGAAAGTACAAAACCAATAGATGAAAACCCCTTGAGTGGTCCCACCCCAACTCTTCTAGAACCATCTTTGACAGATTTGTCTACACAAGATTCTCAAAAACCATCAAAATGGGGTGAATTCAGCTCAACAAGTACAACTCCTCTTCAATCAGGTAGGGTCAATCAGCAATCTTTAATTGCTTATGCATTTTTATTTACATTGTAATGGAAACTAGTGTACTCAAAGTAGAGGTATGTAATACTAAACAAGACAGTAAAAAAAAACTTTACTAAAATTATGAATGGGTATATTATTCAGTTGAAGGTGATAACTTTTTAGTAAAAATAATTAGCTAAAACCTTAATTTTGTTGTTTGTAAATTAAGTCGATAAAGTCTCCTTCAGGATGGACAAAATAGCTCTAAAATGGACCAAGGTGTATCTATTTTGGTTTTGGCAAATAATACATAATCAAGGATTTTTTGTTCTATACTAGAAAATGTATTTGTCTGTGAGGAAACTCAACCTAAGGGTTTAATTATTTGCTGTTCAATCTGTAAAACTTTTTTTACAAAAGCTTAAAACTTTCTGAATTAGAGATGGTACCGGTATTGTTTTGGAATAAATGGCAAAATCCTTGATATAATTGCTCACAAAAAGAAATAGATGTCCTCTGAAAAATGTTTAAATAAACTTTTTTGGAGTTGAGAGAAATTTAGAGAACAAGAAATGCAGGGTTTTTAATTGATTTGATTTATAATTTGTTTTATAAGTAATAAGCTCTTGACAGTCCTCGACTACTACATGAAGCCTCCAAAAGGTGTGTTCTACCTCTACGGTTAGGGTCCCAACTCTCTATCTCTAGACTCGGAACAGAGACCAGTACTTCGTAACCTCCACCTCCTCAAATTGAAATACATTGACAGCCCCCAAAGTTCAAAAATGTTTCAGTAATCCTTTCACCTTTACTTGATTATCTCACAAACCTCAATATCCAACACCACACCAATTGGCAAACCAATCAAACCCCTCACTAAACACATAAAAAAATACCCACAGCTCATAGCCCTACAATCATACCTCTCCACCATGAGCTACAACAGATCAATAATTTGTAATACATCCTCTGTTTTGCAATATATTCACCTCCTTCATAATGTTATTTCCTTGTTTTAGAAACAACATTTAAATACTACCCAAGGCCAGGTATAGTATTGGATGATCCTGAATACAAACCAGGAGGAGCCTACAGACCTATTGTCACAGCACCTCCCAAGAAGGCTAGCTCCAGTGACATCTTTGACGTCACAGTCTCGGCTATTCAAGGTCCGGGATCAACACATACTGGCCAACCCTTTGTGTATCCAGGTACAGCAAGTAAAATCATTCATACTATTCTCTGTTGATCTCTTTGAATTGAGAGGATTATTCGGTGATGCATATTTAATTATGTTTCCCATCATATTATGAACATAAAAATCCAACCTGTTAATCTGTTATGAACATAACTTTCCAATGGACACACACAGCAAGGATAAGGAAAAAGTAGCAACATGCCTTATGTGAGGTGCAACTCATTAAAAATTCACTCGAGATGCCTAAATTCCACCACAGATTGTCACAGACCTGACCAAGAGGTGATTTGAGCTCTCAATCTTGGTACTGTCTCTGACCAGACTTGACTATCTACCACCCTATGATGCTGGTTAACAAAAGGCCTAATTAAGAATTCGTCTAAGCTTGACTTGCAGATTGGAGAACCTGTCAAATATAGCTTTGGCTGTTTTTATTCAGTTATAATTCATTGCATTGTTAAAGGAATGTTTATTTAGTTGGTCTGGCATCATATGTATAAAATGTTGGAGCAACATTAATTGCTGCTAAAATTGAGTTTATGTTAATTCAATTATTATTGGGGGTATTTTTCAATGTCTATGTAGAGAAAAAACAGCATATCCATTTATCATTTGTGAAAATTCATTATATTAATGAATGTCTCACCAAAGTAGGAAAAGAGCTCAAATTAACAGTGACTTAACACAGTTGTTCTAATGGTGATTTTTTCCAACTTCACAACAGTTGACATCGAAGGAGTCCAAGTGGGTGGAGTAGGGTCAGGCGAAGTCTCTGTGATCACCACCGCAGAAGCAGGACAACATTTTGTATCTATTGATGGAAAACGGACCTACATCAATCTGTTCAACACGGAATCTTCTCCCTCAGTGTCTCCAACTGCGGTCAACAAGCAACCTATCACCAAACAGACCGGGTTAGTTACATTATGTCTGCAATCAGATGAAGGTCGCAGGTTCAGTCCTGAAAAAAGGCAGCAGCTGTTTGATGGTTTGAAACTGGACCGAAGTGTCTTTTGACTCATTGGGCTTTTAATGAATGATTCTGGCTAATTCAACTGTTGGTCTTAACCAAACCACACACCACACAAGGAATCTCACTCTATAACCTCATTCTTTATATTCATGTTGAAGCCTTCCGGAATTGGTAATCAATCATAACAGGTTACGTACCTTATTGACGCCCACAATTCCTCAGTCGAACTTCTATTGACTAGTTTCGACTACTAAGTAGTCATTTTCAAAACATGAACGTTAAATTTCATTCATTGAATGTCGTCACAAAACATAAAACACGGTACTTATTTGAAAATTATTGTTGATTACCGCGGTATGAGTGTCAGTGTGTATTGTTGGTGTTTTCCAAAATTTGAAAAATCAATATGTTTAGTAGACAATGCCTTTGGAACTGAATTGATAAACTCTTACATAAACTATGATATAAATCACATGAGAAAGCCAGTGGGTACCGCACGATACGATCAGCCCAAGAAGCACCAAGTGTCAGTAATAAGGTTTTTTAATGGTCTTCAAACCTCCTTTATCAAGTGATGTATAATTTTCAGAACATACACTGCAGCTCAAATCCCTTCAGTAAAACGACCGACTTACCCTCGCCGCCCTGCGCAGCCTCCTGTTCGTATTGATACCTGTATTGTAGGAGACGACTCCACTTGTGATAAGGCACAGAATGAGAGATGTCGTACGGAGGTTGGTGTATCATCCTGCCACTGCCGTCCCGGCTACAGCCGCAGAAAGCATCGTGAACCCTGCATACGTAAGTTTTATACATCTATTTTGTATGTTGAACTGCCACAAACTCTGCACCCGATAACCCGGTAGTCCGGATTTCTTGGTGAACCCATAATGAATTTTTAATTCAGTTTAACAGAACTCTAGGCTGGTGTTTACCTTTATTTACATTCCTAGTGTCAAGCTAACAGAAATTGGTTAACGAACGAAAAGTTACTACTGAGTAACTTTTCATCATTGTACATTGGCTTTGCCATTTGGACCTTTTCATATTCATATGCTTTGTTCAAACTTTTGTACAAAGGTGGTACAATAATAAATAAATAGTGTAAATACAAAAGAAATACAATTAATTACAATGAAAGAGTAAATAATAAAAATAAAAATAGTAAAAACCAAAGTATAACAATAATAATACTTATTGTTATAATTTTTACCACTTCAGTCCAACAGAAAATACTGAAATGATAAATAAATGAAACAATAAATTAAAATAAGTGGATAACTCTTCTATAGAATAAATAGCAAAATGTAAAATATATAATCATTGAATAATTTCTTCTTATTTAAATCTGAAACTTATTGAAGATATAAGATTCTTCTTAAGATAGGCATAGATTATAGGAGAACTGTCTAGCAGCACGAGGTTACGTCTTTTCTCAACCAATAACATGGTAACAATGGTCAAATGGAGAGGAACTGAACTGAGAGATGAACCGATCTGTAGGCACTGTGATAGGTCAGAAGAGACAGCCGATCACTTACTCTTTGATTGTAACGAGCTCTCTGACGCTAGAATGATAACTCTTGGGAATCTGGCTAGAGGAAGATATCTTCCTGAGGATGAACTTATTGGGACTTATTGCTACAGGCATTCATTGGGCGCCTTAACTTGTAAGGTCAACAAGAAAACAATTGTCTGGGGTGCGCAATAATTCAATTTCGGATGAAGTGCTTAAGGGTCTCGACCTGCCCCTGTTAGATAAGATAAGATAAGGAGAGGAACTGTCGTTAATCGCTACGACGACTGCACAGCCCAGTGTGGACACTCATTTCCGTTGTCAGACTAGACTCGCTTGCACGGACGACAGACCGATTTTTCGTCGCTCAGCTAGGATGCCCGCCGCCTTAGTAATTTTTTTTAGTAATTTTTTAATAGGGTAGCCACTAAACAGGTGACATTGTCTATAAAAATCCATTGTTACAGGAATCACTAAATAGAGAAAACAAAAGTTTTAAAAAAATAGTCATTCCGTACATAGAAATTTCATCAATTTGTATTAATTAAAAATAACGTTCAAATTATAATATGATATGAGCTGCAGAATATTAATCTGGTCGCCACCTTTCTTCACTATCTGCCTCTCACTCCTATACACATCTCCCTTCAACTCGTCTCAATCATCAAGGTCTTCTTTGTGGTCTGGTTAAGGGATATTTTATTTTAAAGTACATTACTTCACATGTTATATTTCTTTCTTAACAACAATGATACCACACACTTACCTTTGCTATTTGATGTTCTAGGTGTGGTCTCTATCGTGATGTCACTCAGGGTCGACAGAATGTATGATCAACGCCTCAGCTGGTCAGAGAGGCTCAATGACAAAGAGTCACCAGAGTATTTACAGTTGGAGTACGAGTCCAGTAATGCGGTAATTATTTATTGTTTATTGTAAATTACAACTATAAAATGTAGGTACTTTTGACAATTTCATAACTTAAGAAAAGGTTCACAAATCCGTTCTGTTTATGGTATTAGTGAGACTTAACTGTTCAGTGTGGTTAATTTTCCGTTTATACTAATGGTTTTCACTTGCAAAATATAATTTAGCGAGATTAATATGTTAAGTGCTGTATGGCACAGCAAAATTTGGGGAAATATCAGCTCCAGATGATGTATATGAAAAGTCAGTTAGGGCTCAGAACCAAAAATCATAACAATTCTTGCTATGGGTTGTGTAGGTATACAAATAGGTGTCAACATACCTACTATTTCACTATTTGTCACATAAAGAATTAAATTTAGTGTACAAATCAACTAAATTTCAAAGATCTTATCCAGTCTGTTAAAATTTAGCCAAACAACACTCAAAAGAATATGTGTTCCCAAACAAAAAGTTGTGGAGATGAGAAAGTAAAAATTGCTTCATTAAAAGGAAGCTAATTGTTTGTCTTGTCATCAAAATCAATTCTCTAATAAAGTAAAAATAGAGAAACATGTTAGTCTTTTTTAAGAGTTTAGAGGCTTTTTTCACCTTGAATTTGACTGTCCACATGGCTGTGTGTGGAACCTACCCAGCAAAGCTTATAAATAACTGTTAACTTAAAAAAGAATAACTGTAGGCCTAGAAACAACATTTCAGTTCAGTAGAATCTACATCAATGCCTTGGTTCATTGCACTACCAACTCACCACTTTACCCTTAGACTGCTTGTTATCCACTCTGTTGAAAAATCAATGCTACGACAAGTAAAAGTAGTTTAACATTGTAATTTTTCCCTAGATCGATTCAGCGATGCAGATGACTCCATTCTCTGACGAGTTCCTGGGTTGCCGAGTGAATGACATGTACACGTTGCCATCAAGTAGTGGAAATCTATCTCCGGTGTTTGTTAACCTAACACTACAACTTGAGGAAAGTGCGGAGACACTACGACCCGCAGTGAAGAAAGACATTCAGCGTCACTTGCTAGGAGTGATCCATCGACGAAGCAACAACATCGGATCAAGCTCTCTCTGGGTGGACAGCCCTGCTGGATCTGTATCACAGTTGCAAGGTATCATATTTGACCTGATCGTTTTCTAGATTTCTTAGACTGAAATCATTAGGAATCTTACAATCAAAATTAATTCTCATTTATAAACAATGTGTTGCACTAGTAAATACTATGAAATAAGGTATAACCTTAACATTTTACATTCCTTTTGTTACATATTTATATTTTTAGACTTCTCCACTGGGACTCCCCTCACAATGAAATAAGAAAGTTAAATATTATATTACTAGTTGATTATCAATAGCTTTATGACAACAAGAAATAGTATGTTTCACTGCTAGTCCAGAATGTGACCCAAGATAGCTGTTTACAGCAATAAAAAAATTACAACAACAATCGAGCCTCGAAATAGAACTCACAAGTAGTGAATGATACTTTTCATCTTGATGCAAATAATCACACTAACCTTTTGGTTTTGAACAACCAAATATCAAAATCATACATTAAATAAAGAAGCTATTTTATATAGTTATTTATTACCACCCTCTAACTGGTAATGTTGTTTACAGGGAAAGAATAGTCTGTAACCAAAAAGATCCAAAAATAATGCCTAGAGCACCCCCTTCAGCCATAATTCCTTGACCAAATTCAGTATCTGACAAGGTTATAACAGAAAGGAAGATACACAACTAACTCACCTGAATAAATGTAACACATCAAACTGATATTTCGCCTCGCCCCATTCAGGGGCTTCAACCTCTGAAGAAGCCCCTGAATGGGGCGAGGCGAAATATCAGTTTTATGTATTACATTTATTCAGGTGAGTTAGTTGTGTATCTTCCTTTCTCCTAACAATAACTCCAAAGCCAAGTTGCTTTTTTTCCTTAAAAAACTATAGTGTGATTGTTGACGGAAAGCGGCTGGCTGAAGGGTCGACCCTACTCACACACACGCAGGCCTCACACACACAGACGCAAGGGATTAGGACGGACGTGGGACGGACCATTGTCCTGCCACTCGAGTCATCGCTGGCTCACGGAAATTAAACTATCATTTTTTTAATTTGACGTTTGTTATAAAATCTGGCAACGCTTTTGACTTCAGCTCAAAATGCTTAGTAAAATGATACCAAACAATATATATTTTGCTTACAAAGTGTAAAAGCTACGAATATTTTAACACGTTTTTATTAGCTAGCTACTTGTCATAACCATTTCGTGTTTGGACTCATTTTTCATTGAATTAAACAACAAATTTATTAACACTAACCATTTTACCGTATATCTAACATCAAATGAATTGCAATTTTGAGGTATCATACAACAGATGTTATATTTCTACTTAGTGAATAAAGAACGGGGCTTTCAGGCAATTAGGACGGTGGTGGGTGTGCGTGCGTGAGTCGGGTCCCTCGCAGGTAGGGCTGAGCTCCAGCCGCACTCCGGTAAAAATCAGACTATAAGGTTATAACAGACTGATATTCCCAGTCCCTACCTGGTACAGCACCAGATTCTTAGCTCTCTTGCGGCCAACTGCCTCGCAATCTGCCGTCAGGCGCTTCATCGCCTGATTGGTTGAATTTATTTTTTGTTGATTATAGTCTTGGATCTCATAATGTGGTAGTCCCCAAGTATTCCTTAGCACGGCAAAGTTTGACAAGCTTGGTAAACCATGAACAGACGCTATGGGTGGACCCGCTGCTCCCTTCTTCATCATTTTTGTCATCTACCCATTCTAAGACATGATTACTATATGTTCCCCATTTGCCTTTGCTAGAGGCTGGGTTGCCGTGCTCCTACGCTCAAGCTTTTTCCTTTTCGTCAACTTTCCTTCAAGCCTCATCAGATTTCATACCCTGTACCAGTGAGTCACTGCCCTGCTGAGCCCTAACCTAAGTGGATCATCCTTTCCCCAGAGGTTCTCATGGCTGAAAATATCTTTGAATAAATCTTGGTCGGGGTCTTTGACCTCCTTTCCCATGTCTTGCGGTACTATCCCATGGCAATAACTGTTTCTACATGCCTCGGCAAGGCTGCTTATCACAGGATCGTCTAGTATCCTGCAACTACCATTTGGCACCACTCAAAAGGCCTAAAGCCATCTACATCTACCCCTCGGCATGGCATCTACATGACACCGTAGGTTGGCCTGTAATGGGGAAAAGGGTACAGAAAGGTGAGCTGAAGAAACTATACTAGTAGGACAGCCCCTGCTTAGATGAAGAGTAGGGAGGCTTTCTGCGATGGACATGCCACTGGGCGATGTTATCACCAATCGTTATGCCATATAGGCTACTGTATATAAAACTTTCTTTACTTATAATCAGATTTTTAAATCATGTCTAGAGATTTTTAAGCACTAAAACTATTTTGGGCATTGTTAAAGCTCAAACAGCTTTCAATAAAGAGTTTAGCTAAAAATTTAAAGTTAAGCTAAAAAATTCTGTTTTACAGACTTGGACGAGTGCCAACATCCAGAACTCCACGACTGCCATCAAGTAGCAACATGCAGCAACACGTTTGGATCCTACCAGTGTGTTTGTCCGGACGGATACCGAGATCCTTGGGTAGACAACAGTCATCATAGCGGACGAGAATGTCAGACTTGTCCAACAGAATACTGCAACCACCGAGGAGAATGTAGATACCACAATGACCAACCAGTCTGCAAGTAAGTAATTTTACAGTAATCTCTTCAAAGAATATGATGATCAATGTTAAACTTATTAATAATTGTCCATTTGAGGATTTATGAGGAATATAATTTTTACACACGCATAATATCTACTTAAACCTTAAAGGCTGTTTTATGAGTCTCCCTTGTCACACATTTTCCCTTGGACGAGATTTTCTTATCATAACGCAACATGGTAGGTGGTGGCACCTGAAGACAAATCAGTGAATTATTTTGAACCAGGACTGTACACAGCACATTGTTCATTAGTCGCTAGATATTTTGCAGCTATTCCCGATCGTAATGAGTGCGACAGAGACAGGTGTATTCTTTTTAAACATAAAAAAACTGTAAAAGGCTGGTACTTATATAGATGGTAGTGGTAGTGAATATGTACATAAAATTAAAGTTTGTTACCCCCCTACTTATTTTTAAATTCTATTTTGATGATGAAATTATGAGTTAAATCATGTCTGGCACCATCACATCGAACGACAAAGGTAAAAACGAGGGGTGATTTGGCACAATTTGTAGAAAAACTACTCAAACGGCTCAAACAAACAACCGAGTAAAAAATGACAGTCGTTCAAAGATTTCTTGAATCCACTATTTTGAATACATATTTAAACAACTGACATTTTTTACTGAATCGTTCTTTTGAGCTCATATTTCGGCATTGTACGGTATTCTACTAATACCTTTCATTTTATGTGCATTTCGACCTTTGCATACGTTTGTTATTTTCTTCAGACTTTTAGCGGGCGCCTCCCTGAGGAGGTAGCGTATAATCGCATTGCAAGTTCAATGGATCTTTGAATAGCTCTTAGTCATTTTTGAGTTCGGGCTTGCAGCATTGTATTTTACTAACAAAGACCTCTAATTTTTTGTGCATATATGTCTTACATTTAAGACTTTCTTCGGACTCCTAGCGGGCCGTCCCCCTGAAGATGTTGCGCTTCATTGAATAATGTCTTAACATGATTGTAGTGCCTAGTAATTGTGTAACAAGTTTTTAACTTGAACCTCTATCTTTATTACTTGTTAAAATATTTAACTGTCCTGGGACTTTTTTCCACCCTGTAGATTTGAAAATTAAGTGTCAAGGCTGTTGAAAAACATTGAAATTATTGCACAATTATTTTGGCTGTTTATAAACCAAAATGATTGGATTGATAATGATAACATATCCAATCCATACAAAAATTTTACCTTCTACTAAAACCTTGGACCCATTATTAATTAATTGTTCACATCACCTCTTAGTAAGAATATATAAAAGAGCAATTTCACCGCTCTGAAAGAAAGTCCCTTGCCCTCATCCCCTATGGATCTGCTATAATACAGTTTTATTTGTTACAGATGTGCAGGAAGTTACTACGGAGCTCAGTGTGAGATTGACGGAGAAGTTCTTGGGGTTGCTATTGGAGCATCAATTGCTGCTGTAGTAATCATTGTCTCGACTCTTGTGTGCCTTTGCATGTGGAGGTATAGTAACATATTTTTCTTTACACGGTTATTGAAATTACATACCGTATTAAATAAGGGGCTAGAAGCAAAACCAGAGACTTTTTTTGCATAAAAAGTTAGATATGTTGTTTTTATGCTTTAACAGCTCCTAAAATTGATATGGATTTGTAGTACTCTCTACAAATATTTTTTTCAGACAAAGTTTATCAAAGTTTGCTCATTTTTTAAAACTTACTTCCTAAATCAGTTCAGCCTACGTATATCTGTATTTTTTAATTACAATATTGTATGTAGTTTTTACTTAATCCCCAGACTAACAATTCTAACCATAGTAACTATAAATACCATGATCGTCTGCAGTTTCAAATGGTTTTATTGATGTTTATGTTTCGGCTACTATGTGTTTGGGTAGCGGACTGGTCTAGTGGTTGAGCTTGGGGCTTTGGAGTCTGAGGTCCATGGCTCAAATCCTGCCAATCACCAGTGGTTTTATTTACGTGATAATGCAGCAACCCTCCAGGACATGCCTGAAGTAATGTGTAAACAGTTCCGGAATAGAACCCAACGTTTTAGGATGAGAAGGTGGGGCATTAAAAAAGTATGCCTTTATCAACACCTGTTGTCAGGAGCCATTATCAGGCTTTACAAGGAAATTGTCACTTCCCCTGAAGGTGGTTACAATTTAGACATATTTACAAAATATCGAAACATTAAAAACACGACACGCATGACTATATACAACGACAAGACCGGCGGGAGTTTACGTCTACACTGCCGGGCCCACTATGGTCGGTGCGTCTTATCAGCAACAGGTTGTTTGCAGGTTTCGTTCTACACCCTCTATTGTATTATCTTTTGGTAGTGCTGTAAATAAAATTAGATGCAAAATGAAAGCTTATCGTTTAGCACGTTTTGTTTGTCGGAGTTGACTGCCTTATAAATCTTGTATTCCTCTAATGTGTTGATCTGAAACTTGTTTTTATTGAAATGTAGAACAGTCATGTTACCGTTGGTGTTAGAATAGCTATGGTTGTTTGAGATTAATGCTCTGCAAAATTTTATGGCTGTGTCGACGTGATTTTCTTGGGGATGTGTTCTTTAAAACATTTAATCATTTTGAAAAGAGCGTGATGTCTGGCCTATGTATCATAATCACTGCATAAACTCCCGCCGGTCGTGTCGTTGTATCTGGTCATGTTTTTAATGTGTCAATGTTTTGTAAATACATGTGTGAACTGTGATGACCTTCAGAAGAAGCGACAATGTCCTTGTAAATATTACCGCAACCATTTGGATTACCAAAAATACAGGTATTTAAACCACTTATATTTCTAACAAAACTATTAAAAAGCTTGATTTCCAGCGACAAATCATTATTGAAAAGCTTCATTTGTGTAATGGTAGCCACCTTTGAGGACCTTTGATGCCAATCCTTTGAGGAATTGTAAGAAAATGAATCAATTATCATAAAACCTGAGCTAGAGCAATTAAAATTTGTCATTAGCGATTTAAATATTTTCTATTTTAGCCGAAGATGGAACCGAGAGCAGAAAGTGGCTGCAGGAATGGGGTCTCCAGTGTTCGGCTATATGACAACAGCTGCTCGAAACAACACAATCAAATCTCCGGCTATTGGAGCTTCACCCTACCAGGTGTCACTGGAAGATAGGCTACGATGGGCGCAAATAGCCGATGTTATGGCTCAAGCCACCAACCACTATGCAGTAAGTTAATTTGAAAACAATACTTTCCCAGCATTTCAGTCCTAATGACTGCAATTTTCAGGTTTCTTTTGTTGTTCTTTTTAAACACTTTTGTTTTCTATTGTTGATTTTAAGGTACACACAAATCTAAATGGAAAGGTAATTTTTGCAGTAAAGGCTCTGCAGGTTTCGCACTCTTATCAAACCAGCACATCAAATAGGCTCAAATAGGTAGAAAGGCTCCCAACAACACTGAGAGTAATTCCAATAGTCACGGACTATTTAGATGCAATCTTTTAGTTTTAGTAGTAGTAAATGTGTTCCTGAGACTTTGCTGCAAAACATTAGTTTCCCTAAAATTGCTATATTACAATAACCTCGTCCAACTAAATCAGGGTTAAATTCAATATTACATTGTAAACTATATCTCTTTTGATTTTGTGAGATTTTGGTTTCAAATAATGCTATCAGAACATAAAAATTTATAGGAAAACCAGGAAAATTACAACAAAAACAAAGTTTTATTTGATGTTTACTACAAATACCGGGATTTATCTTTCTTATATATTTTCTTATTGTGTTATTATTCAAAATTAGCCTAATTAATAAAATAGTGACAACATGACAGTTAAAATTCAACAACGGGTAATGGAATAAAAAGGCAAACAAAAAAGTCTTACAAAATATGAATTATTGGCCAAGCACTGAAAGGGTTAAACATAGATATTACATTTTAGGTTAACAAATTATTTATTTTTTTGTTATTTTGATTTATTCTATTATTTATTTTGCATTTACATATAGTTTGCTTTTTCCATTGAATAGTCTTGTACATTTTTGTAATTTATTCTGCTGTAATAAAGATATAATTCATTCAATCATTCATTTACAAAATAACAAGAAGCAACGGTGGTGGAGAAAGTGTTCTTGTGCCCATGCGCACCTTGCACGCCATACTAACTGACACGATTTTTACTCTTATTTTTACCACCAGAAGTCAACAGCACTTTTCAACATCTGTATTTTAATATCCCTCAAAGTGCTTTAATTACAAAAATAAACTACATATAAATCGTCATATTGGCTTTGCAGCCTGAGCCCGGAGGTGGAATGCCTACGAGACCGTCTTCAACCATCTTTGGCTACGGAGGGACTCTGTCAGCTCCGGTACCTATGCCTCGACTCAGCCTTCGCCCCGCATCTGCTCATGGCACCCGAGCCAACGACAGCAGTTGCAGCGAGGAGGAGGACCGCACAGATCTCCTCAGCAGAAACTTCCATGTACCTCGGCCTAAGAGTAGGTCGTCTGTTGCGGTGAGTTGACTCAATCAATCTTTATTTACATAAACCGGGTGTTTCCTGAAGCGGTAATTATTTTTCAATTATACTAGACGTATAATACACACTACAAACTCGAAACTCCATATCTACAACTATATATGTGAAAAGAAACACCCTATAGTCCTCGCCACCATAACTTGAGGCAGCCCAAGGCCCTGTATATCTAGTGCGGCCTTGGGCTGCCTCAAGTTAGGATGGCGAGGACTATAGAGTCCTAGATTCTGATCATACAGTGGAACCTTGATAAGAAGACCCTCGATTACAAGCCACCCTTGATAACAAGTGCAATTTTCAAATCCCCTTGAAATTATTTTACCCCTAACCACATGTTATTGCAAACCTCAATAAAAAGTCAACCTTGATAACAAGTATTATTTAATAATCCCCAAGAGAGTCTTGTTATCGAGGTTCTACTGTAATTACAAAAAAAGCTTAATAATGGTGTGTTTTCAATAGGGTATTTTTATTTGCAAGACTAGGCCTATTTCTAATTATTCTTCCACTTTAACATTGTTTCTTAAGTAAATTAAATGAAGAGATAGGAAATTGGTAAATCATAAATGAAATTTATTGATTTACAACCCTTATTCATTTGAACTCACGTCCATCAACCACTATAAAATATGATTTTACCCTAAAGATTTTTGTTAAGTTTGTTTCTCTGTCATTTTGTTCTAAATTGTCAGAATCAAGTGGGACTGGAGAGTTTTTTTACATATGTGTTTATTGTAGCGGTGGAGTTACAAGTTTGTAGCTTGTTCAATGTGTCTGGTATATTAGTTTGAAAGTAGCGACCTCTTTGTGGGACATCTGGTACATTGATTTGTCCGATGTATGGAATGTGGCTGGAATCTACAAATACAGCGTACAAGTAATGTACTGGTGACGGTCCTTGTTTTTTCATCATTCAAGAAACCCCCAGGTCAAGTATACAGTTGAGTTCTTTGTGTAAGTTTAGATATTGATATGCTTGTAGAAATCAAAAGTGTTGGGGAAGCTACTTTTAAAATGTAGCTAGCTACAACTACTGCTACATTTCCAAAAAAGTAGCTTAGCTACAGCTACAGCTACAGTTCCAAAAAAGTAGCTAGCTACAACTACAGCTACAATGAAATGTAGCTACAGCTACAATTTTAGCTACTTTCCCAAAGACGTTACTTTTTATTCCATGCACATTAGGTAAATGTAAAATTAATTGCAACAACATTTTTATTGAACAAACATTTAAACAAGAAATGTCAGTATTGTATCTAACATTACTTGGAAAACAAATTATTCCTGGATTTTATTTAATTTGTTGGCATTATAAACCTAACATTACAACAACAGCATCAAATAGTTGGGTGTCCCATCATATTTAGCACTTATTTTTAAATATTGCATTATTTTTAAGCATCTTAGCCTATATGTAAATTTCATTAAGTTCAAAGGACATTCAACCAAACTATATTTTAAAAGCTCATTTTATTTCTTTAATATAGATTCATTTATAGATGTCTTATATCAATAATTAAGACCACTTAAACTGTAAAACGATTATTTAAAAATACTTTTTTGTGTTACAGAGCCTAGCCTATTGAAATTGGTGTTTATTGCCTTTCTTTACTTTTAATGTTAACAACGACATTGCTATAACTTTTAACCATAACCATGATAATAAGTTTCATGTTATATGGAGATTTTTTCGTTACAATTATTATCATGTAGTCTAGGCATATCTTAAATCTCATCAGGTAATTTCCTCTTTGTTAATTTAGTAAACCTTTGAAAAATCTTTGTAATCTAACCAAGGAAGGGCTTGTGATGATGAACCACAATCAACAGCTGAAGCAAAGGTTGATGACCAGCTTTCTCATTATTTTAAGGTTTAGGGTTGGTTTCCATTAAAACCCTAGTTAAAACACTATCAATATAACAAAGAAACTAAATTCCCTGTCAATCACTTGCAAGCATTCAATAGCTTCTCTTGTCACCGGTAACGTTTAAACGTCGTCTGCATCTAGCGATTTTATTTTATCTGACAGTTATCATAGAGTAGTAAATTAAGGAAATGAGAGCTAAAAATGTGGATAACACTCATTTTTAATGGCCTCCATGTCCACACAGCGTTGTAATAGGGAATGAAACGGCTGCAACCAGCTGTAAGGTTGAGGTTATGGTAAAAATCACTATCTCAAACAATGTTAATGTAGCGAGAAAAGTAGCTAAAATTCCGCTACAACTACTTTAAAAATGTAGCTAGCAGCTAAAGCTACAAAATCTTAAAAGTAGCTACGCTACAGCTAACGCTACAAAAAAAGTAGCGCGCTACTGTAGCGTCGCTACTTGTAGCGCGCTACTTCCCAACACTGGAAATCAATCACAAATTATGTCACCAAAGCTAAATGAATGTAAACAAATCTTTAAATTTTCTCTTAAAGAAGTAGAAATAACAGTGATAAGTAAGACCCAAATTTACTGAATCCTTGTGTTGCTAATGAAGTTATTCAATTGAAAGTGTGACTTCCATTTTCAAGCCTTATATTAATAAAAATGATATAAAAATACATGATTAAAAACTAAGTACCCTTTTTAAAACTCATTTTATTGAACAACTAATGATATATTTTAGTAGGCTATAATATAACTAAATGATATATTTTGAATTTTGGGTGGTTTGAATTTGTTTACCCTGCTGTTTGAATTTTATTGTGGTGTTAAAACTATTCATGTTCAACTGTATTTAGAAAAAGAAATATTTTAGAATAAAGAGAGGGAAACACAATAAACAAACAAAATAGTAAAATATAAGGAATCTTTATTTTACTGATTATTTTTAGAGAGATACTTTTTAGTTGTGTTCTTTAAACTTTTAATAAGTGACAGTTTCAAGTGTACAATACTGGACAGGATAGAGACGCCATCATGGCCGACCAGCTGAATTGAATCAGCTGATTACCTAGACAAATTAGTGTCCAGGGAATTGACATACGAAAAGGTCACGAAACAAAACTCTGAGATTTTGTTCTAATACAGGACTTCTTCAGAGATTATATTAAAGAGAAATGTAAAATTGGAGTAATCTTCTGTTTTTCTAACTACAAATCATGACCGATCATTATCATTACAACTGACATAGGCCCATACGTAATTTCTGAGTCAATTTTCAGGAAAAGTCTATTCACTGATGGTATTATACTTTTAAGTCTAAGATTCCTTGGTCAGCCACTTAGCTTCCCTTTAAAATATGTATTAAAAAGGAATAAATGAAAATTATTTGATTACAGAACCAGAGTGGTATCTACTATGACGTGGATTATGATCAACAACCGGTGCCCACCTGTATTCCTATGAACACCTACACCATGAGTAACCGTTCAAACTATTATTGCTCTTAATTTTTTACTAAATGTTATGAACCTGTATATAGTGTATTTAAAGTTATTGAATTGTTTGTAAATAAAAAATATTATTATTAAATATAAAATGTCAATTTTTTTACCTTATACTAGGCCTATGTCTTCTTTTGATGCCAATTTTATCACCTTTTCTCTATCCTTCTTAAAAAACCTAAATCAGAGAGATACATTAGTGATGCTATTGTTGACCTGATCCCTGTCATTAAATACTTAGTATGAAATAAATAATATGTATTAGCTTGAAATAAATTAAATCCTTATTTCTCTTGAAATAAATTAAAAGAAAATATTTCTCTACCCTCGGAAGGAAATAAGCTTGATAACACGTTGAGTGCACGTGGCGAGAAATCTCACCCCATGGTAGTGGCACCACTGGTCCAGGGCGGGAAATGTCGTCCTCCTCCCATAACAACAACCTTGCTTCAGTATGAGCTCAGCCTCGCACGGGGAACGTTGTGTTCGATTGCCCCGTTTTGAACAAGTGTTGCTAAAACTTTTGGTGAGCTTTGTTTCCGTATCGGCCATCCCAATCTTTTGACCGTGCTTCATGTTTGTGTCAACTATATTGTGCGGGGTGTTAACTTAGTACACTTTGTAATATTAATGTTTTAGTTATAGTTTTTATTATTTCAATACAAAATATAAAACTCTTACATATTATTTAAAAGGTTTGAAAACATTTTATGGTTGAAATTTCAGTACACTAAAAGACTTAATAGGTGGGGGTGGGAGGGGTTGTAAATATATTTTGTATACAAATAGTGGTTTCATAAGAACTATTAAATGTGAAAAAAAACACAATTTACTGTGTGAATGACGACGTGTGGAGCTGAAAAATAGTTGGAGGTTGGACAAGGACCGGAAGTACCTAAGGACGAGAATTCCCGCCCCGGAGTGACGTCACCAATTTCAGCCAAAATAGACATTGAGACATCTAGTTTAATCATTTTGGATATCCTGACATTCATTTTTAAGTAAGTAATCACATCATAATTTTTTATTTTATTTTAGGGTCTCAATACTCATAATCATTAGCACTCAACGTGTTAAAACACTCTCTAGAAAACAAGAAACTTAGTAAAAAGGTTTTGAAGACTATTCAAGCTATCAAGAAAATGCTGAGATTGAAATTAGGCACTTAAAGCTCCAGATAGGGAAGATTGAGGTTTCTCTGAGTCAACTAAAAGAATAAATAAAAATAAAAATGCAATAGTAAATTTGATTCAGTCTGAAAAAATAGGCTTTACCTTCGTCAATCAGATCAAAATTTGTAACTATTGTAATGACCGTTTTGGCATTACAATGCCATCTATGGGCTGGCGTCTTGCTCAGATTGGGACAATGTCAACCGAAACTGTGTGTAGGACAGGCCTGTTTTTTTTTGTGTCCATATCAGTGCGAGTTTTGAGTTTTAACTTTAACAACACTGCTTCAGCCAAGATTTGCATGTGTCTGAAGATGGCATTGTAATGCTGGAAGGCCCATAGCCAAAGTTACATCTTTGGAGCTGATTGACAAAAATAAAGCCTGTGTTAGGAACCAATTCTTTCTTGACCTTTGTACTCTCTTATCATGTGTCCACCACACAAACACCCACCGCAGTCCAGACACAGTCCACTGCCGTTCATCATTACGATTACATCATCCAGCATTACGCTACCCACAATAATTATAAACTCTAAACTAGTAACTTTTATTTGCCCTGGCAAAGATTTTTATTTTATCGAAAGGAATCTTTATTTTACTGATTATTTTTAGAGAGATACTTTTTAGTTGTGTTCTTTAAACTTTTAATAAGTGACAGTTTCAAGTGTACAATACTGGACAGGATAGAGACGCCATCATGGCCGACCAACAGCAATAAAGATGGGGTACCCCAGCCAGATGTCGCCGATCTACACCTCCACAATATCAACGAAGGTCGGTGGAAGCATTTTTCTAAATATAAAACCATTAAAATCAGTATAAATCATATTTCTATTTGCCATAGATTTCATATTAACTATCTAACAAAACAATAATTTTTTTCTAACTCAGTCACGATCGATTATCAATCATTACAACAGCCTGCTTTTTGGTTACGTTACAGCTCAGGAGGCTGTAAACATGGATTCAGTCTGATAATTGTCATTAGCAAGTAATGAAAAAAAAAAACACATCGCCTTCTTTGACTAAAAAACATCATTCCACAAGGACAGAAAATATATCACACCTAAACAAATCTGTAAAACCAGCGGTAAAAATTTTGATCAATCACACTCGATCATAGTTAACATGTTTGCAGTTCTTGCAACAGATTTCTTTCCGCCATCTGCGTCTGATACCAAAACCTGTGCCATTGTTACATGGGGGAGTTGGAGCAAAAGTATAAAGTTTTTGTATACCATACTTGAGTACATGGTAGTCCTATTAAATTGAAATTTAAATTTAAATTCCTATTAAATTAATGAGAATTTATTTGATTAAGAACATGAGTTTATCTAAAATCAAACAAGTCAAGTGGTATATAACACTCAATCGATACAAGGAAAAAACATACATTTTTATTTAACAATAATCATCTTACAATGAAATAGGTTTTGTTTGATCACAATAACAGTTATACCTAGAGGTTAATACTTAATACATCGCCAAATGATAGTTACAAAATCATACATTTATCAGTTCATTAAAAGACAAGGACATACACATCTAAACATTCTGGGAAAAACTAAATTTGACATCATAACATTAGGAAGGTGGACTGCATTACAATTTTAATAAGCTTTCTAATACTTTCTGAATCAATAATACATTTATCTCTAAGTTAAATTAAAAAATAATAATTGGGCTTATCGTCATAAAATCATATCTTAAATAAATATAAAATAAATGCATAAACTGTTAAAACTGTTATTTGTTTAAAACCTCTCTTGAAAATGACTTATAAATAATTTTTAAATTAGCTTACTACTAGGTTTTTGACGTAGCATATACATTTGAATTTAAAATAATTGAAAGACACATTTGAAGCTGTCTGGGGTTTTCTTGTACTACTGTACTTAGGACTATATTAAATATTTTATCATATATAAACATTTAATATAATAATAAATATTAAACAATACAAAACCGTATCTCCCTAAACCGTAATGAACCTTAGAGTAGTGAAGGAGTTGTAAATAGCAATACTCTGTGAAGAGACATCCTGCAAATGGGAGCGATTGTAACAATGGTATAGAAGTTTTAGAGCTTTTTGGACCACCAGGTCAGTGCTCTACATATGAAATCCTTGGGTAGTAAAGGCAGAAGGTCAAGCAGAGCACAAATCAATGTCTTTCTAGTCTCTCCATGTTCTCTAAGCAGGAGAGAAGTGTCGGAATGTTGAGAATTGGATAATGTACAAGTGGCAGCTGAATCTTGGCTGTCACCAGGAACAAATGACTAAATCTGCTGTTATCTCAACCTATCGATAGCACACTGGACGGATATTTCAATGATCAAAGAAACAACAAAATCATTCTTGACTCTGTAAATAATGCAACAATTAAAAATGTTAATACATTTCATAACCATTAATAACACGTTTATAAATTAATCATTTTCAACCATTTTATAAGTACAATTCTTATGTTCATAGCAAGTCTAAAACATCGTTTATTATCAACTGATTGATTTAAATGACTTCCTGTATCCATCCAAAGTTTTTGACGGTGAAAATCTGCAGCCTTTCTTGCAAAGACCTTTTATAGAGACGATTCAGAATCAGGTTGTGAAGAAAATCCAGCAAAGAACTCGGAACACACTCACTGTGACAATGGTATCAAGGCTTTTTAGGCTGAGAGTACAGTCCATTTCATGTCACTATACAAGCAAACCGTTGTCATGGAAGGTATGACTAGGCAGCCTTGCAGCCAGTTCATGCCATGGCAAAAAGAAATCTTCATATTTGGCTTAAAGTGAATCTATATCCTGGTGTAATGTGGAAATAGCTTAGAAGAAATGCTTATTAGCCAGGAGAAACTCAGGAGAAAATGTTTAGTTGAAAAAGTACCTACTTCATAAACGCTCTCAAAGAAAATTGTATAAAAAAATTGAATTTTTTAGACACAAAAATATTTATGTGTCTACATTTTTTGAAAGGTCTAGTAACTTTAAAGTCCTTAGCCCTGGATTGTTCTCCAGGCCAAGGGCCTTTAACCTGCCTTGGACACTGTTATGTCCTACCTAAATGGGGGTATTGCAGTAGAGTTTTGTTCCTGTAAGACGTTCTTTCCTTCTAGATAAGAGCGTCAGAATTTTTGTCCCCTTCACTGGAAATTTTACATAAAAAGAAACTGCATGCAGCTACCTAAGCAAGAGCCAGATGTCATTTGAGAGTAAGGAGGTGCGATCTGCAATCATGAACAATAGTTAACGTCAATTTAATCATCTTAACACAAATTTTAAATTACGATGACATCTGAGAAGTTCAGTGAGCCAACTACGGAGAGCGAACAGGCCTAATGGTAGGGCGTGCAACTTCTGTTTGTGAGGTGCTGGGTCTGAATCCCATCAATCACCAATAGATTTTATCTAGTTTAGTGATCATGCCTCAGCTCTCTAGGCTTAGACTGAAGTTAAGTGTAAAACGTTTCCAGGCTAGAGTTTAGCATTTTAGGATGTGAAGGTGGGACATAAGAAGAAGTGAACCAACCACTAAAGGCCTGTTTTCTGTCAACGTTTCAGTTACATAGATGCAACAGGGACAATCCTTCTTCATTTTGATCGATTCTGTCAAAATTTTTCTGAGTGTAAATCGTTAGAAAAGAAAAACAACACTTCTCGTTAAGAGTAAATATTCCACCAGGTGAAAGTTGTAGCCATTTTTAGAATGAAAATGGGCAAAGTTGATTTGAGCCACAACAGAGTGTAGGCATACTGATGTCAAAGGGTTAGAGAACGTCCGTCAGTCGAAGGTTATGTAAGATAGAGAGTGAGTATTCATGACAGTGGGGATGAGAGTTTCTTGACCCTCCGAAAATGAGGTCAGTAGGTCTCACTACTCAGACTTATACTGGACATGTCTTGGCACAT